GAATCGTACCTTCCCGTGTAGGGAAAGTGTCTTTCCTTCTTCGGCTCGGCAGCAGAGGACGGTTCTGAGGCCTTAGCCTTCCCTTTCCTCTGCGCCGAGACTTCGGGCTGCTGCCCTTTCGGCTTCTCAATTCTCGGACGAGACTGAGACCTGGATCTGTTCCACTCCTCGGCTCGGATGAACCTATCCGATGCTTCCAAGGCTTCCTCCAGGGTCTGCGGGGGATGCATGACCATGAAGTCCAGGAACTTTCCAGCTTGGAGGCCGTTCCGTAGCGCGAACACGGCCAGGCCTTGATCCAGGCTTGTGATTCCGGATGACTCGTTGCTGAAGCGAGTCAGATAGTCGCGGAGGCTCTCGTCCTCCGCCTGCTGCAGACTCATTAGCTCTGCAGTGGTCTTCTCTCGGCGGTTGGCCGTAGAGAATTTGCTCTTGAACTTGTTGGAGAGGTCGTTCCAACCGGTTATGGAGCCTTCCTTGAGCCCTTTGGTGATCCAGGATTGGGCAACACCTTTGAGGGTCGTAGGAAAGTATTTACACCAGGTAGCCTCAGACCTCGGGTTCAGATACATGTGCCCCTCGTAAGAGGCAATGTGATCCTTAGGATCTGAGGTACCATCGTAAGTAATATGTGCCGGGATTTTGACCGTTGGCACATGCTCTTCCAGAATCCACTTCTGGAAGGGCGAGTTCGATGGAACCATGACCGCCTTCCCCTTGTACCCGGCCTCAGGGACCTCGCTCCCTCCTCTCTCAGAGGTGGAAGTGGTTTTCGTCCCCGGCTGAGACAAGGTTGGGTGGGGTCCGGTATCCTCTGGGAAGGTGAGGCGGCTATGCACACTCACCTCCCTCGAACCCAAGCGTTCGTGAACGCTTTGGCGGGCGAATTCCGGGTCCTTGGAGGGCCCCATGGAATTCTGAGCTTCAGAGTGGTCAGAGGGTTGAGGGTTCCTCCTCCTCTCCTTACTGGAGTTTCGGGTGTCCCCTCGCCACCTCTGGCCGAGCTCTCTATGTGGTGGAACTTGTCCACCATCATCCTGACCGATCCTCCTTTTCAGGTTTCTCGGCTGGTGATCATCAGGCATCTGGATTGGAGCCCCTTGAGCTTTAAGGAACTCCATGCAGATGGCCACTGCTCTGGCCACTTCCTCGGTGGAGGGTCCGGAGGGAGGAGTCTCCCGCGGATGTGACCTGGATTGCACGCTATGGCGCGGCGGGGAGTTCCTCGCACCTGAGCCACTCGGTCTCGGGGATGGCCCCGGCTGCCGAGTGTGGTGCGAGGTGTTCTCCTCCTGGAGGCTAGGACCTCTTGAGGCTTCCCTTTCCGGAGAAATGGGGGCCTCCGATTCGGAAGAGGCTTGCTCCGGGGAGGGATAAACCGGCTGGCGTTCCCTCACCGTAATCCGGCCTCCTCCCTTCTTAGCCTTCTTGGAACTCTTTCCACTCTTAGTCATGGCGACTGCCGGAGTGTTTGATGACTGACGCGAAATTTAGTAGCGTTCCCCACAGACGGCGCCAAATTGTTTCGGATGAAAACAATCGAATCTCGGAAGATCCTTTTATCTTGAGGGAACTTGGTCTCGGTCCGAACGACGCAGGAGCCGAGGGTTTCCTGCACAACAAATACACGTAAACTAGCCTCGGGGGGGACGCCGAGGAAGGCCCCTCCGATGCTTAAGTCAGTATATTAGAGAGAGAAAGCTGTGCAAGAGTTTAGTTGCTTGAGGCTTTATTGTCTTACCAAGAATTGACCAAATTGTTGGCTTTTATACCTTGGCTAATGAAGGAGGCGGATTGGGCCCGGAAGTCAGTTGGGCTGGGCCAAGCTGATTGGGCCGTTGACTGACCTTGACATGGCTTTGAGGATGTTGATTTTTGACTTTAGCACATTTGGAGAGTTGAACCTTAACCTTGGGCTTTTAATTGGATCATTCAGTGACCAGGCCCAATTGGACTAAATTGGACCCAAACAAGTGTGCTTTTGGTTGTTTTGTTGGTTATGGTAATGCAAATGTTATGGTATAGGTAATGACAGTAGATTACTATAGTTGGTGTCATAATGTCTAGTAACTAGTGCTTATAGACGATTCATGTTGGAATTGGTTAAGGGCATTGCGTTTCTTTTGGGCGCGATAGAGCAAAATAGTATATTAATACTTCGGAAATGAGCATGGTTACTACTTATTAGTACATTACAATTTGGAAAAGCTGAACTATGTGTTTGGGGAATGGGGTGCAATGGGATTGGGGTCTTGATAAAAAAATTTCGTATGAGACAAGTGTGTTATGTTTTGGAGTCAGGTAAAATCGCTATTTCTATTGCATTTTGGCTTGATTAGTAATACTTTGGTACCGAATTGTGTACCGTACCCAAACTTGTTTTTTTTTTTTTTTTTTTTTGTTTGGATGAAATTCAAAGTTTATGTTGCTGCAGTGTTGTGTTTGTTTTTTATAATTGTATTTGTGGTGTCGAGGTTGGGGTACTGGGGGAAGCAAGGAATGGGGAGAAGGGAGGGCGGCTGGCAGTGGCCAAGGGGAAGGTGGGTGAGGGGAGTGGCTGGGCTTATAATTTTTTTTAAGTGTTTATAATTTGTTTTTTTTTTTATTTTTTTTATTTTTTGAGCTAGGCCCTAGGAAGAAGTTTACAGATTTCTTTTAAGAAAAAAATCAAATGTCATAATTTGAATTTTCAAATTTATTTGAACCTTGAATAAAATTGCCCAGAACTTTATAACGTTCACCTAGTGTTCATCGTAATGTTTGAGTGGGAGTTAGGCCGTTGTATATTTGATTTCTATGGTAAATGCCAATGGTTTCATTCTTTGTGTAGCTTTATTGGGTATAAACTTTCATACAAGGCTGTGTAGCTTAAATTGTCACCCTTTTGAGTGTATGATTGTTTCTGATTTTCTGAACATTGGTCTCTTTGATGTATCTAAGCTTCAAGATAGGATAACAAGGCACAAGTATTACTAATTTATACTCCTTTTCTCTAAAATATCTAGAGAAATTATTATTTTGATGCTATACACATTTCTGCAGTTTAACAATTTTTTGGTATTTTTGTATTCAGAAAACCATCCAATTTTTTTTATAAGAAAAAGTTAGTTTTTTTAATTATTATTATTATTGGTCATCCTTAGGATTATTGAGTTTTTTGCTTTTTTCTGAAGATTTATGTGTGTTTGAATAAGTTTAGTTCCTGACATCTAATTTTTAACTTGTCCGGGCATCTGTTTAGCTTCAATGGACAATTCCATTAGTTTTCTGCTGGTGGGTGGGAAACAATTTTCAAATTTCAACCAAGTAACAACCCCTCTGGTTAAAACTTTAAGTAGTACATATAGGTATATAGCTAGATATATTATACAAGTTAGTATTCAAGTAGCTTTAATGGAGGAGGGGAGAATAACTGATAAAATTAACCCAATCTAAGGAAAAAATAAAAATAGGTCATGAAACAAAGAGATATATTATATAAGATGAACTGATATATATATATATATATATATATATATATATATATATATATATATATATATATATATATATATATATATATATATATATATATATATATATATATCATATGTCTAAATTTCAGATTTTTTCTACTATATACAATGAAGTATAACATGTTAACAACATTTGTACTTGCATACAAGAGGCACAAGCAAAAATAATTAAAAAGTCAGAGTTCATAAATTAGAAAATAATTAAAGTTAGATCCACTATAAAGGACAGTAGTACTTCACTATATTGTGTGGTTTCTTATAGTAACTAACATATTGTCGTTGATTCCTCCTCATTAGTGATGGCATGCAGTATTAAAAATGTAGCGAAAGATAATTCTTTTATATAAAAATAAGTGGTAAATGACATGCAGTGGTTAATAATTTGTGAATATGTTATATTAAGACTAAACTAGTACATAAGTAGATTGCTACTGGTGAAATTTGTGTGTTGTCGAAATAGTAAAATTGATATGTTCCTTACTACTTGTGTAGCTGTGTGTAGGCTGATACACAATTGGGTGGATTGAATCAGAATTAGATGGGCCATGTCAATCAGTTTGTGCTTCATTGATTAATTACTACTTGTACTTTGCAAACTCCTTGTGTTATTGAAAATATATGGAGTACGAACTTGGCCATATTTATAATATACTCTTATAAATCCGTGTGTCCAAAAGAGATAAAGGGTTGTATTTTTAGGGACAGAGGGGAAGGGGAACCCATTGAAGCTCTGAGGTAGCTTAACATTACTCCAGTCATGGGTGGGAACATAGGGGAATTGCTTGGAGCCTTGACAGTCAGCACCCCACAACTTAAATGGAACTTTTGGTCCCCTAGAATACTTTTCTGGTTCAGGGTCTAACTTCAATTCTTGTTAAATTAGTTTTACTTGTTAAATCTTGGAGTAATTTAGTTTATGAAGGCAATATAGACAATGTGAATGTGATAGCTTTCTTTAGAGAGGATGTTGGGATGTTACTCTTTTTTTTTTGTTAACATGAGGTCGCGCTCACAAGCGCTTGCTGTACAATCCCTGTTTAATTCCAGCTGGTACCCTTTTCCATCCCCATATTTCTAATTTTTGGTTGCATTTTACTAAAATTTATGATTATAGTTGATCTATTTGGATATTTATTTTATTGTGTTAGAGTTGGTTCAAAGAGTTTTTATTTCTTGCTCTAATTTTGTCAAAGTTTATTGTATAGCTGAATTTATATATTAGGGGGATGTGTTTGTTACTTGTGGGCTGCTGTGATTTGTTGTCAATATAGAATATTAAGGTCATTGATTATAGAGTAAACTAACTTTGAATTCTTTGGCATATTGAAACACTGGGTGAATTCGGATTGTGGCCTTGAAGGTTGGTAATATGAACCATAGGGTGATTCTTCATGCGTTTTGAACTTTTCTCATGTTGATTGTGGCCTTGGTCTATTATAATTTACTTCTATTATATTTCAATATATTATTCTATTTTACGTGTAGGTGCATGGGGAGCTAAATGGAACGGAAGTATAGTGACTAGTCATCTAACAAATGGTGCATATATGTTGGCGACTCTTATTCAAGTTCAACTTTGTGAAGATTTGAAAATTCCGGCTTATATATATGTTGACAATTTGTATTTTGGACGATTAAATTAATTATATAACTTTTATTTTTTATTAGTAGGGTGTCATACCAAAAACAAACAAGTAATATTTTGTAATGTACGTATGTCGCATTATAATTATTATATATAAGTTTAATGATACTTTGTTTTGGTTAGTATATTTAGATTTGTACTGACTAATTATACATATATTAAATTACCATTCCAAAAAATAAAAAAAAAAATCAAATGATCAATCCATTGCAGTAGATACGTACTACTATCATTGTAGTAATTAGTTTCATCCGTTGCAATAGGTTCAATTTCATCATAATTATTAGTCAGTACCCTATTGCCACGGATAAGTTATGCCGTTGCAACAGGTATAGGTCTATTGCCACGGATCATTGGTGCTGTGGCATTAGGTGTCATATGCCGTTGCATTAGACCTACTGCAACGCCAGCATATGTCACGGTACATGGCCGTTGCATTAGGCCTAATGCCACGGATTTTGACGCCTAATGCAACGGATTTGGGGGTTGCAATAGATAAAAAATGTGTAGTGTTTTTAAAACCAAATTCCTTTAAACATAATAAATAGTTTCAAACCATTCAAAACATGATATTAAAATCAATATTTCAAAAATACATTTATTAAAACAAATATTAAAATCAATTCCTCCAACCATACTTTGTTTCATAAATCATAATTCAAATCAATTTAATTCAATCACCAATAAAATCATATAAAACATGATATTCAAACCAATCACTTTTGAAGGTATCTAGCCACCTAAATATACCTTGATTTCGAATATCGATCAACACTTTGCACTTTCAAAGTTCAATCACGAATACACCTTGCAATTAACATAACCATAAGGTTATCACAACATCTTTAGACATAAACCCAAATCTAATGTGCATGGACAATAAAACTCTTTTAAAAATAATACTTTAATATAAAATTATAGCTTTGAAATAAGTATTTATATTATAGAAAACTAACCATGAAGAAAATAAAGGAATAGGATTAAAGAGAATTGGATTTGCGTTGGAAAGAATAGGCAGAACTTGCAGAGGTCATAACTCCTTCAATATAACTCCGAATTGGGTAATTCTTGATCCTAACCTCAAGGATTGTTTGATAGGAACAATTTTATGTGAAATAGAAAAACCCCAAAACTGACCAGAAGTGCCCGAAAATTGGCTCCAAAGATATACGGGCTGATTATGTATGAAAAGAGTAGAAAGAAAAGTATGAAAAGGTTTAGGGAAAAGAAGAGTACGAGAGAAGAAGAGAATTGAGTTTTTGGTGTGAATAATTTGAGAGGTATGAGGGGGTATTTATAGGCTAGCTCATGCAAGAATTATGGTAGAAGAATGTAGGAAGAATTATGGTAAATTGGTTTAAGGAAATTACTTGGAGAAGAGAGTTTAAAAATCAAGGAAGGTTTAATATTATGGTGACTAAGAAATAATTAATTATGAAAAGTGTGTTGTCATGAAAAAATAATATGGCAGATAGCTTTGCTTGGGGAGTAATCAAGAATGATTTAGGGTAGGGAAATAAGATGATCAAATATTTAGGAGATGGAAAATAAGAACTAAGGAAAATATAATAGAATTGAGGAAGATAATTAAAATACAAAAATTACCAAAATAATTTTGCTCAAAATACAATATAGTGGCCAAAAATTTGAGCTTTCCTAAGCTCATATTTTCAGACCTCCCTTTAAATATTTAGGCAATTATTTTGCTAGTTTTTAAGGAATAAAAATGGTTGTGTAAATAATATATTTTGTAGAAAATAATAAATTAGAAAATACCAATTATTCACTAAATAATTTAACTAAGAAATTCAGATTTTCCACACTTAGAAAATCTGAAAATCAAAGCTAATTAATTAGGAATTTTCGGCCCTTTAAATAATAAAATATAATTTTGCTTAATTAAAATATCCGAAATATATATAAATCATCCGGTTTTTAAAATAAAATAAATGGATAATAAATGTTATCCAAAATCCAAAAATAATAGTTAAGTTAAAATGTTTTTTGCTTTAAAATTCAAATATCATTTTGCCTCCAAAATTCAAATAGTAAAATAAATTACTAAAATACCCTTTTAAGAAAATACTAATTAATTAGAAAATACGTGTCAAAAATACGGGGTATTACAAAGATGGAGCAACATGGATGCAAAGAAAATGCAAACTGCTGCATTTCTTGCGTGGCTGATTTGGTTAGAACGCAACAATTGGGTATTCTTAGGAAGCACAACTCCAAATAATGTTTTGATGGGGCCTTTGAGAAGGCTTGTGGATGAATATGGTGCATATGCAAAGAAGATATATGGTGTTGCAAGGCCTGTGCCGAAGCGTAGTCCTTCAAAGTAGCTGCCTCCCTCAGGTTCTGTGATCAAGCTAAATGCAGACGCAAGTATGATGGAGGAAGGTTGGGTGGGATTGGGTGTTGTTGCTAGAAACCACAAGGGTGAGGTACTTTTTTCAACTTCGAGAAGAGTGCGTGCTTGGTGGCAAGTTGAGATTGTAGAGGCAAAAGCAAAGCACATGGCGGTAAGGCTTGCAGGCAAGTATGGCCTTGAGGAGGTGGTGCTTGAGTCGGATTGCGAAACTTTAATGAAACGTCTTTTGAAGGCAGTGATTTATTTCTCTGATTTAGATGGAGTAATTGAGGATATCTTGTTTTTGAGTAGTAATTTCAATTCCTTTGCTTGGTCTCATGTAAAAAGGGGAGGGAATTGGGTAGCTCATCATCTAGCTAGGATGATACCTTTTGGGGTAGAACAAGTACGGATTAACCATTGCCCATCAGGAATTACTCCCTATGTACTCTCGGACGTTTTGTCCCTTGATTAATAGAGTTTGCTCGCTGCGTTTCCCTCAAAAAAAAAAAAAAAGTAATATCTTACCGTACATGAAAACATTTAATTCTAATGATAAATTTTATAAATAATTATAGTTAAAATGAGTATATTAATAGCGTAAAAAGTTAAAATATATCAACTATTCTGAAATGAAATTATAATATTAGTAAAAATTATAACAAATCTTTTTATTGTTGAAAATAGGATGTTTTTACACCGGTTGTTTGAAGACTACCATATTATTTTAATAATAAATAATATGATTGGTTTATTTTTTTCACATTATAAAATGGACACAATTAGTTTTCTAATATCTACAATGCAAATATAATTTTTGAAAATTTTAATCCAACATAAAATAAATATTTTTCGAGAATCTACAAAATAAGAATAAAAATTAAATAAATGAAACTAAAAATTTGATAAATTAAAAAACTGTTGATGATTCTATTTTATACCAAAAATAAAGTATTATAATTAATTACTTGGAAAAAAAATATGTCAATTATGAACTATATAATCATTAAAACATTATGGTACTAGTCATATTTCAAACGACTATTATATAATTTTTAGTGAAAATATTATTACTAATTTAACGACATCTTACATGCTACTACTTGTGTTTTATGTATGTAGTAAAAAAATATATATATATATATATAAAAATCAGTCAAAGTTAATACATATCAACATATGAATTCGATAAGTCGATATAAACAGTGCAAAAAGTCAAGAAATAAAAAATCAATAAAGGCATTGAGTAGGATCAAGACAATGCAGGTAAAGAATTGTGAGCTCCAATCTATGATGACAAACATTGCAATCATACTCACACCCAAATATGAAATCCACTAGATTAGTTAATTAACTACGTAATCCATCATCTTTAACACCTTCAAATTAACTGTAAAGCACATTCTTTGTTTCTTTCTCTTTTCTCTCTTTTTACAGGCTCTCTATAATCTGACCTCATATATTATGTAGTCATCTACAACTAATACTAGTTTACAAGTATCTTGATTCTTGATGCTAAAATATACATTTGATTTATTTATTTATTTTTTTGAGTAAATATAGTAAGTTTTTATTAGCAATAAGTATATATTTTTAAGAGACGATTCCAAGTATATCCCTTTGCCCCTTTTTTGGATTTTGTACTTTGTACATAATGTAGAGGTGATGTATAGAGGTGATATAAAAAAATAAAATAAAATTGTAAAATAGAGCTATTAAAGGACTGTATTTATTCATGTTCATGTTAATCAATAGACATGCATATTGAAAACCTTTAACCTTGGCACAACCAACTTAATTAATTTTGTTGAAATCTTAACACTAATTCTAAATGTTTAATTAATTAGTTAGATGTCAATCCAATTTGTCATATATTTGTATCAATTCAAGTTGGGGATAGCCAATATGAATTAATTTAGCGTATACTAAGATTGCCATCCTAATTCATGCGAAATACATATCAAGCAAAGCTTGGTGGAGTTGGTGGGAAACTCACCTTGTGAGGTTACAAGTTCGAGCCCCACCAACTACAATTGCTTGAGGGTAGGGGGATTCCCTTACCTCCCCCCTACTCTCAAGCGTTGACCTGTGGAGCGACATTAGTAAAGTAATATAACTAGGTAAAGCTATTTGTGTTAATTCGGACCAAAAAATCTTAACACTAACCCATTTATATTAGACACTAACACTCAAGTTGAAAATCTTATCAGTTATCACTAACCCGCTTATTTTGTGTCTAGTTTTAGAACATTGGAACTATGGGGAGGGATAATAGCAATGGAGGAGACTTGGACAAGTAGGGGGGTTGTTTGTCTTGGAAAGTTGGAAGAAAAACCCACCAGTACACATGACTTCAAGTTCTGGCACCTATAAATTTTGAGCCCAAAATAAATTCAACAGGCCATGCAATTATTGGCAATTAAGATAGTGTTGTAGTGATAATCTATCTTTGGGATTGGGTAAATATCATTTTCTCTAGAATTATTGGGTCTAATAAATTGTGTTTTACAAGTTTGTAATTATGTTATTAACTAGAAAACACTATTAACAAACAAAAGAAGATAGAAGACTATATTTGTATCACACTACACAACTAAACAATGTCTAAGCAATACTCATCACGCATTCACGCATAGGTGCGAAGTAATTGTGTAAATTCAGCAGGCAGACCCATGAGGCCATGACACATTTTTTTTTTTTTTTTTTTTTTGACATATGCTTAATCAAACAAAAATCACCTAAGAGAGAATCCACTTCACAAGACCAGAGGAGGTTCCATCCCAAAACCATTTGGCAATAAGAGGAGTAGCTCTTTACTTATAAAGTATTTAACTCTCTCTTCATTTCTCATTGTGAGACATTTACATGTGCTGTTTGGAAATCTTATACTTCAACAGTTCATTTGTTCAACAACCAT